CGCCGCCGCCGCCGCCGCCGCCTCTTTCATCTCCTCTGGGGCAGGGGCCAGGGCCAGGTGAGGGGAGTGGGGCTCTGGGCAGACAGAGTTGGTGAGGAGGCGGCTTTCACCTGGTTAGGAAGGTGTCCCGGGACGGTACCGAGCCACCGACTCCCCAGTGGCTCCGACGACGCGTGAGTGTGAGTGAGAGAATCTGCGTGCGCGCGCGTGTGTGTGTGTGTGTGTGTCCCGGCGCCCGAGGGTGCTGGAGGCTGACGGGGTCCGTTTCATCCCGGTCGCGTGGCCCCTCCGCGGGGGCCGCTCCCGGCGTGGGCTGCCTGCCGGGACCGGGCTCTCCCGGGCGCCGCTGTCCCTCCCCGCAAACAGCTTCACACGACAGCTCCGGGTCCGTGTTTAGGGCTCCTTTTTAGGGCTTATTGGGGAGCGCGGACTCCTTCTCGGTGGAGGACACGCTTTCCGTGCGATTCCCTTAGGGCGGTCAGAGATGAGCCCTGCCGGGGCGAGGCGTTGGTTCCCAGGGGCCGTCAGAGACCGTAATGTTCTTAGCTGGAATTCGTGGCTGTGGTCCTGACACCCCTTTACAGAAAAAAACCCAGCTCACACCGAGACACCGTTCCCTTCGCTTTGCCCTCTGAACATTCTCGGGCGATCCTAAGTCTCTTCCTGACGGCCACGAGGGCAGGATGCCTGGACTTCATTTGGAGTCGAGGCTCTGACCTAGGGGCCAGCCTCGGACGGGCCGGGCCGGTTGTCCACACGCTGTTGACCAATAGCTTTGTTTAGTGCTTAGCCACTCCCCGCACGAGTGTTTGTTTATCCAAAAGAGCTATCTCACTGTCTGTGTTTACAAGTCTTACACCGACAGTGCCCCCTCCTCTTTTTGCTGTGCGGTGTAAAAGAAGACGGATTTTTTTTTTTTCCTACATAACTGTAAGATTTCCCCTGGAGGTTTGGTGTAAACCAGAATGTTGCTCTTTGTCCTGACCTGTGTGTCCTTGGTGGTGTTGCCACACCCTTCAGATACCTTCTTTCTTTCTTTTTTTTTTTTTTTTAGCACCCCCCCCATCCCGAAAATTAAGCAAGTGGTTGCATAGGTAGTGACTTACTTACAGTTCATGTATACAGTTGGATAAATGTACCCTGAAAATAGTTAAAGCATTGTGAAATATCATTTGGTAATAGGAAGTTAAGGGTCTTGAAAATCCTTTGAATGGTCAAGTGCTGTTCTGTATTTTTTTTTTTTTCAAATGGCTTATTTTCTTTTTTCTTTTTTGTAGAGACGAGGTCTGGCCAAGTTGCCTAGTCTAGTCTCGAACCTCTGGACTCAGGCAGTCCTCTCACCTCCACCTCCCAAATGCTGGGATTAGAGGTGTGAGCCACCACCACTGGCCATATAGAAATTTTAAGCAATCATTTAGTAGTTTCATTATTTTATAATTTTTCAGACATCATTTTGACTTATATCTTACTCTAAATAAATGGTCACCGAGAGTTCTTGTTTACTGTATATTATGGCAGGGAGCTATTTCAGATTAGCTGGTTTCTTTTTCTCTTTTTGTTTTTTCCTTGGCAGGTAGTGTGCCAATGAGCTGACAAGGCAACAGGGTCTTCACATTAGTGTGAGAGCCCAGTCATCACACTTGTGAGCCACAAAAGAATCAGAGTAGTTGATTTTTTTTTTTTTTTTTTTTTTTGAGTTAGAGTCTCACTCTGTCGCCCAGACTGGAGTGCAGTGGCCGCTCCCAGCCACCGCAGCCTCGACCTGCTGGGCTCCGGCGATCCTTCCACCTCAGCCTTCCGAGTAGCTGGAACTACAGGCGTGTGCTACCACACCCGGCTAGTTTTTGGATTTATTGTAGAGATGAGGTCTCGCCAAGTTGCCCAGGCGGGTGTCGAACCCGCGGGCTCAGGCAATTCACTCACCTCAGCCTCCCAAGGCACGGGATTATAGGCTAAGCCACTGAACTCAGCTAGAGTAGTTGATTTTTGCACAACTTTATTGAAATATAACTATCATACAGCTCACCATTTGTACAATTCAGTGGTTTTCAGTGTATCCACAGAGTTGTGCCCCCACTATCACAAACATTTTAGTGCCTCAGAAGGTCACCCCATACCCAGTAGCAGTCATTCTTTATTCCTCGCCCCAGCCCCCACCTACTTTCTGTCTATAGATTTCCCTATCCTGGACATTTTACATGAATGGGATCATATGTGGTCTTTTCATGTTTTCTTCAGAGTTAATCCATGTTGTAGCCCATATCATTCCTTATGGCCACATTAAGTTTCATTGTGTGTGTATAGGCATGACATTTTAAAATCTGTTCATCAGTTGTGGGCAGTTATTTCCATTTTTTGACTGTTACGTATAGTGCTGCTTTGGTTTATTTTTTTGAGTCGGGGCTTCACTCTTACCCAGGCTGGAGGTGCATTGTCACAGTTATGACTCACCGCAGCCTCAACTTCTTGGGCTCAGGCAATCCTTCTACCTCAGCCTCCAAGTAGCTGAGATTCCAGGCATGTGCCACAACGCCTGGCTAGTTTTTGTTTGTTTGTTTTGAGTTGGTATTTCACTCTGTACCCAGGCTGGAGTGCAGTGGCAGGTTAACAGCCATCGCAGCCTCAACCTGCCGGGCTCAGATGATCCTTCTGCCTCAGTCTTCCAAGTAGCTGAAGCTACAGGCACGCACCACCATCCCCGGCTAATTTTTAAATTTATTGTAGAGATGAGGTCTTGCCGGTCTTGAACCTGTGGGCTCAGACAATCCTTTCACTTCGGCCTACCAAAGGGCTGGGATTATAGGGGTGAGCCACTGTGGCTGGCTAGTTTTTTGATTTTTTTTTGTAGAGAACAGGTTTTGCTGTGTTGCCTAGGTTGGTCTTGAATTCCTGAGCTCAAGCAATCCTGCTGCTGCAACCTCCCAAAGGGCTGGTATTATAGGTGTGAGCCACTGTGCCCCAGCCTTTTAATATCCATGTGCAACATTTTTGTGTGTAGATGTGTTTTCATTTCTCTCTGGCATATACCTAGAAGTGGAGCAGAGTAACTGAATTTTATGTCTCCCTCTTACACAAGCTAGATACGCATGTATCGGAAGCCTAATTCGTGTGAAAGTTAAATTGTAGGGGAGTTGTGAAAGTGAAGCAATCCTCTGAATTCTCTGTGAATGCCAACTGCTGAGTGCAGATATTTTGGGGCAGCTCTTAACACAAGATTGAACAAGAGTGTTTTGCTTAGGCATGCTTTAATTGGAAGGGGGATAGTCTACATTAGAGTACTAGTGTGTGCTACATTTTTAAAATGATACCTTGCCCAGTAGCATTTCTCAGATGGGTGGGGTGGATTTTTGCAATTTCACAATTTTTATTTGAATTATTTTATTTAACTGCTTTCAGAGAAAGTTCTAGAATTCAATAAGAGCGAATAAAACATGAATTAGAAAATGTTGGATTTCATGTTGATTTGTGGAACTTTTTTGGGAGGTATCGTAACTGTAGTCTCAGCACTTTGAGAGGCAAAGGTGAGAGGGTCAGTTGAGGCCAAAAGTTCGAGACTCACCTAGGCAACACAGTGAGACCCCTGTGTCTACCAAAAAAAAAAAAACCCTATTCAAGACACCAGTGAGTCATGATACTAAAGATCTGATAGCCAAGAAACTTTGTTAATATTTAAAATTCAAGATTTTTGATTTGTGATGGAGTTATCTGTAAATTTTTTATCTTTCTCTTAATGAACTGGGATTATAGTTGTGTTCAACTCTATATTACAGGAGAGTTTAATACTGTTATTGCATTATAGTTTTATTTTAATGGAAAGAAATGGTCTAAAAACAAAAAATTTTGAAATAATTTAATTAAAATGCTAGTTTGCAAGGTGTTTCTGTTATGGTTCTATGAAGTTAAAGGATGCGATATGTACGTATTATTATTATTTTAAAAGCTGGATTTTTTATTTTTGAGTTGAACTCTCACTCTTTTGCTCAGGCTAGAGTACAGTGGCATGCTCATGGCCACCACAGCTTTGACCTGCTGGGCTCAGGCGATCCTTCTGCCTTAGCCTTCCAAGTAGCTGGAACTACAGGCATGTACCACCATGCCAGGCTAATTTTTTTATTTATTGTAGAGACGGGGTCTCACCAAGTTGTTCGGGCTGATCTTGAAACCCTGGGCTCAGGCAATCCTTTCACTTCGGCCTTCCAAAGTTCTGGATTACAGGTGAGCCACTGTGCTGGGCCAGAAATTTCTATTTTTAACAGGCATCCAGGTGATTTGTTGAGACAAGTTTGGGAAACAGATACAAAAGACCTACGTTGCTGTACATTTGCTTTTCATAAGAATTTATTAATTGCTGTATATTTTCTGATTATAGTTCATAAAATGTGCCTAATTCCTGCAGTGTCAGTAGTGCTAGTTGTAGCTTGGAATTTGGATTGGGATTTGCAACAGAAATCTAGTTTGGCCAGGTACTATGATTACATCTATAATCCCAGCACTTTGGGAGGCCGAGGTGAGAGGATTGCCTTAGCCTACAGGTTGGAGACCAGCCTGGGCAACTTGGTGAGACCTCATCTCTACAATAAATAAAAAACTTAGCCAGGCATGGGGTACATGCCTGTAGTTCCAGCTTCTTAGAAGACTGAAGTGGAAGGATTGCCTGAGCCCAGCAGGTTGAGGCTGCGGTGGCCGTGGGTGTGCCGCTGCACTCTAGCCTGGGTGACAGAGTGAGACTCTAACCCCAAAAAAGTAAAAAAAAAAGAAATCTAGTTAAAAAAAAAAAAAAGCAAACCATATATTGTAGCATTGTGTGTATTACATTTGTTATTGAAGGATCATGGATATCTTATTTGTGACTAGTTTTGGAGATGTCACCAAATGAATATATGAACACAGCATTAAGTTACCCTAAGTTCCTCAGGCTGTCCATTTGCCTGGCAGCTTCTGGTGGCTCTCCTTATTCATGGTTCCATATCTATAGATTCAGCCAACCTCAGACTGGAAAATGTTAGAAAAAAATACAGCAATAATTCAAGTAAAAACCAATATAATATAACAGCTAT